GGGAAAATAGCCCATGTGATATGATTGTGAGGATGAATGCAATGATTAGGATAATGATGATGATGATGATTATAGTTTTGATGACTATGTACAATACAATTACGATGAAGGTTGTTATGATTTAAGATGACGATTATAATGATGTTTATATTTATAATGATAATTTCGATAATAATGACAGTGATAATTAGGGAAGATTCTAGATATGACGATGACGAGGACGTAACCATGACTACGTGGGAAATAATAATGATTGCACGAACTCTTAAAGAAAAAAAGGTCTACTTTTACCCGAAGGAGAACATAAGTGACCAAAAAAGCTAAATAATAATTAGAATAATGATAATTCCCAAGACTGAGAAACTCAGGTGTAATAGCAATACTCTTAATGGTAATAAAAAGCTGGTAATAACGAGTGACAAGAAAATATGATAATTATTGTAATGGAAAGACAGAGAAGTTTACATTAGAGTTGTTATAAAACAATGTGAAGAATATGCATAGGAAACGGATCATTTTCTGACAATGAAGACAGATATTCTAGTAAAAAAATATGATGATAATAGTAATGATAATGATAGTAATAATAACAACAACAGTGATGATAATAAACATGATGGTAGTAATAATAATGACAAAGATAATAATAACAATAATGATAATAATATGAGTAATAGCAACAATAATAATAATTATAGTAATACTAATTATGATGATGATGATGATGAGGAGGAGGATGATAATGATAATGATATTGGTAGAAAAAAACAATTATATAGTATCAACACGGAAGAGTGTTTTCCGTTTTTACTAAAAATGGGAATAGTAATGTTAAAGTAATAATAATAATAATGATAATAATAACAATAAAATGATAATAATAATAATGAAAATGATAATAATAATGATAATAATAAAGATAATTATGATAATAATAATAATAATAATAATAATAATAATAATAATAATAACAATAACAATAATAACAATGATAAACATAGTGATGATATTAATAATAAGAATGATGATGATGATAATAATGATATAATAATAGTAATAACAATTGTGATGATGATTATGATGACAATAATAATGATGATAATAATAATAACAATAATGATAACAATAATGATAACAATAACAATAATAATAATAATGAAAAGGATAATGAAACACCGAATGATGATAATGACGATGATAGGAATAATAATAATGATAGTGATAATGATGATGATGATGAGCATGAGGATGAGGATAAGGATGATGATGATGAGGATGTTGATGATTGATGATGATGATGATGATGATAATAATAATTGTAATAATAATAGTAATAATAATAATAATAATAATAATAATAATAATATGATGATGATGATGATGTTGATGATTGATGATAATAATGAGAATAATAATAAGGATATAATAATAGTAATAATAAGAGTGACGATGATTATGATGACAATAATAATAATAATATGATGATGATGATGATTGATAATAATAATAATAATGATAATAATAATAATAATAACAATAATAATAATAATAATAATAATAATAAGGATAACAATAATAATAATAATAATAATAATAATAATAATATGATGATGATGATGATTGATAATAATAATAATGATAATAATGATAATAATAATAATAATGATAATAATAATACCAGTAACAATAATAATAATAATAATAATAATAACAATAATAATGATAACAATAATAATAATAGTAATAAAAATAATAGTAGTAGTAGTAATGATAGTAATAATGATATTAATAATAATAATAATAACAATGATAATACTAATGATAATAATAATAATAATAATAATAATGACGATAATAATAATAATAATAATAATAAAAAATAATAATAATAATGATAATAATAATAATAATAATAATAATAATAATAATAATAATAATTATTATTATTATTATGATAATGATAATAATAATAATAATAATAATAATAATAATAATAATAATGATAATAATAATAATAATAATAATAATAATAATAATAATAATGATAATAATAATAATAATAATAATAATAATAATGATAATAATCATGATAATAATGATTATGATAATGATTATGATAGTAATGATAATAACAATGATAATAGTAATAATGATAATTATGATAGTAATAATAATAACAATGATAATAGTAATAATGATAATTATGACAGTAATAATGATAATAGTAACGAAGATAATAGTGATAATGATAAAACAGATATAATAATGACCAAGGATCAGTAGTAACAACAATAATGAAAATAAAATGATAATAATAATGATAACAAAAAGAATGAAAATAAGAAAAAGATGAACACCAGCGATATATGTTCATCTATTGATTTAGAAATTATTACATAAATCATGAAGGAAGAAATTTTTATGTCTCTTTGGCACAGTGCATGACTTGTAAATGGAGTCGAAGTCGTGTCTGCCGATATGAAAGGGCAAATATGCAATATGTAAATGGGCCGTTTCTGTGATCGTAGTCGTAGAAACAGAAAGATCATAAGAAGATAGTATGTATATAATGTAGATACAAACCAAAGATTCTACAACAGAAAATAGGCCTATACATCTCTTCGTTCGTCGTATGTGGCCACTATAGCCCACTGCAAAGTTTAACTACTCCTTGATCAAACATTGAAGTTTATGCTACAGTTCCGATATACTTATTTAGCTGTTGTTGTTTCATCCTCTGTAATAAAACAAATACATGCAGCAATAAGTATGAAATTAATTGAATATATTATATCATCAATGTGGCATTTTGCAATCTTTAGCTAATTTCACTAAAAGGAAATGTATAGATTTATCACGAAACTATTTAGATGTGTCGAGAGAGTTTCGTTAGAAGTTCAACTTGGAACAACAGGGACCAGTAAGGCTTTCCTTCGTTTCGGATGTAGAAGGGCTTGTCATTCTGAAACCTGCGCAGATGTCAAAAGTAAAGGGAAGGAATGAAAAGGAAATAATAGATCATTACAGACAGAAAGTTGTAGTATCTGTGGCTGCTTAGATTCCCTCTGTGGGGTCAGTGTGACGACATAGTTGACGTCACTAAATGTCAGTCGCTAAATGGCTGAAGAGGTACAGTATTCCTTGTACTAAAAAGATCGAGGAGTGCAGCATTTTATAATAAAATCACACACACACACACACACACACACACACACACACACACACACACACACACACACACACACACACACACACACACACACACATATATATATATACGTACATACACACACATATATGTATTGTCGTATGCATGTATATTTACCTATACATCAGTATATAATGTGGTTTGAGTTAAATAAAGTTACAGATATCACCTAAATACGTAAGTCTTTATTATCGTTGAAAATAGCTGGTGAGCAGCGGATGACTGTACAGAGGTTGGTAGATGAATTACAGAAAAGCAGTAAAGGTCATTATACACAGATTATATTATAAGAGACGTTATTGTACATACACTTAAGCAGCGAAAACACAACACCAGAGAAACACCGTTAGACACGACAATAAAACTGAGGATAGCTGTTTTTATGAAGCATGGGTTAACGACAGTCACTGATGAGAGGTATAAACATTTTATTACACTGCGTACTCAGCAATAAAAGATTAGGACTGACAAACATGTACATTATTGTCAGAGGGTCATGTCGGTATAAGAAAGAACATGTCAAATTATGATAATAATAGTATGGATAAGAAGAGAGGGAATAGAATGTAATGATCATGAAGATGGTAATGATAATAATAATAATAATAATAATAATAATAAAAATAATGTTGATAAAATTATAATCGTGTTAACAAAAATGATAATAATGATGATGATTATGACGATGATGGTGATGATAATAAGGATAGTAATGATAGTAATGACATTGATAATAACGATGATGATAATAATAATATTGATAATAATAATAATAATAATAATAATAATAATAATAATGATAATGATAGTAATAATAATATCAATGTTATGATAATGATGATAAAATAATAACAGCAATAGTAATAATGATAATAATAATAATAATAATGACAATGAGGATAATAATGATAATAACAATAACGAAAAATAATGATGATTGTAATGGACGAAAAATAATGATGATTGTAATGGAAATGATGATGATGATGATGATAAAATAATAATAATGATAGAGATGATAATAATGGTGATAATGATGATGATAATAATGATAATAATAAAAATACTACTACTACTACTAATAATAATGATAATAATAACAATAACAATAATAATAATAATAATAATAATAATAATAATAATAATAATAATAATAATAATAATAATAATAATAATAATAATAATAATAACGGTAACAGTAAAAACAATGATGATGATGAAAAATGAGGATAATTATAAAGAGAATGATGAAGGCGATGATGATAATGATATTGATGATGATGATGATTGTGATGAGGATGAGTATGAAAATAAGAGGGATAATAATACTGAAGATAACAATAATAGCAGTAATAATAATGATAATAATGATAATAGTAATAATAATAATGATGATGATAATAATAATAATAATAATAATAATAATAATAATAATAATAATAATAATAATAATAATAATAATAATAATAATATTGATAATAATAATGACACTACTACTACTACTGCTAATGATAAGGGTGAAAACAATAATGATAATAACAATAACAATAATAATAATAATAATAATAATAATAATGATAATAATAATAATGATAATGATAATAATGAAAATGATAATAATAGTAATAATAATAATAATAATAATAATAATAATAATAATGATAGTAATAATAATAATAATAATAATCAAACGATAAAAAAAGGACAATAACGACAGCAATAATAACAACGATAAAACAACAATAACAATGGAAACGATGATGCTACAACCTTCCCTCTTTCGCTCCGCCAGGGAGAACTTCGAGTGAGTCCCGTGACAGGGAGACTGGAGCCCGAGTACCCTGCCTGGCGAAGAAACCTCATTCGATACCTCGTGACTCTCCCCCTCATCGTGTTCTCCCTCATGGTCGTGTTTGTGGTCATGTTACTCATTCTTCAGTTACAGGTGAGTGTCAGGAGGATTATTAGGGATAGAGTTATCTTTTTTAATTATCAATATTATCTTTGTTGTTGGTAATTTTTTTTCACTTTTTTTTATTCACTATCATTTTTTGCGGGGGGTATTTGTGCTCTCCCTTTTTTCCTCCATCCTTCGTATCTGCTTTGTTTGTGTGTGTATGATCTCTCTTCTCTTTTCTTACTATTGTTGTTCTTTCTTTGAATTCCTCTTTAGCCGATGTATTTTGACGATCTTTTTATTCTCTTAAGGCCATTTTCCTAACTTAATAGACCCTTTCTAGTATCGGAGACTCTGCTTTGCCAGGTGCGTCTTGAACTACACAGGTAAGATGGGTCTTTCGAGAGGTAAGTTTCTTTCCCCTTAATTCAGGGAGGTAAGTGATGACTGCGCTCTCTTGACTTTCGCTTCTCCGTGTAGTGCGTCTCTCCATTTGCCTTGAAGTAGTGACTTAGATGAAGGTAAGTAGTAGCAAAGGTTTTTAGTTAATAGATGTTGCAATGGCAGGTAAGGTAAATCTAAAAGATGTCAGGTAAGGTATTCTGCCATATCAAAGAGCATTGCCTTAGAAAAAAACAAAAGAAAAAACAAATAGTAGCTGGCTTTCCTTTCCGTCAAATGGAGTTAGTATTGCGTAGCCTCTTTGTGCTTTCTACGGTGAGTAAATTGCTTTCGTAGTTTTGTTTCTTTTGAAGGCCGATGAAACAGATTTGTTAAAGGCATCTGTCACATGGACTCTCTCTTATTTCATTTTTGTTGAAACTTTACTGTAATAATAATAATAATAATAATAATAATAATAATAATAATAATAATAATAATAATATAATAATAATAATAATAATAATAATAATAATAATAATATAATAATAATAATATAATAATAATAATATAATAATAATAATAATAATATAATAATAATAATAATATAATAATAATAATATAATAATAATAATAATAATAATAATAATATAATAATAATAATAATAATAATAATATAATAATAATAATAATAATAATAATATAATAATAATAATATAATAATAATAATATAATAATAATAATAATAATATAATAATAATAATATAATAATAATAATATAATAATAATAATAATAATAATAATAATAATAATAATATAATAATAATAATATAATAATAATAATATAATAATAATAATAATAATATAATAATAATAATATAATAATAATAATATAATAATAATAATATAATAATAATAATAATAATATAATAATAATAATAATAATATAATAATAATAATATAATAATAATAATAATAATATAATAATAATAATATAATAATAATAATATAATAATAATAATAATAATAATATAATAATAATAATAATATAATAATAATAATATAATAATAATAATATAATAATAATAATATAATAATAATAATATAATAATAATAATAATATAATAATAATAATAATAATAATATAATAATAATAATATAATAATAATAATATAATAATAATAATATAATAATAATAATATAATAATAATAATATAATAATAATAATAATATAATAATAATAATAATATAATAATAATAATAATAATAATAATATAATAATAATAATAATATAATAATAATAATAATATAATAATAATAATAATAATAATATAATAATAATAATAATATAATAATAATAATATAATAATAATAATATAATAATAATAATAATAATAATAATAATAATAATAATAATAATAATATAATAATAATAATAATAATATAATAATAATAATAATATAATAATAATAATAATAATATAATAATAATAATATAATAATAATAATAATATAATAATAATAATAATAATAATATAATAATAATAATAATATAATAATAATAATATAATAATAATAATATAATAATAATAATAATAATAATAATAATATAATAATAATAATAATATAATAATAATAATATAATAATAATAATATAATAATAATAATATAATAATAATAATAATAATAATAATAATAATAATATAATAATAATAATATAATAATAATAATAATAATAATATAATAATAATAATAATAATATAATAATAATAATAATAATATAATAATAATAATAATAATAATATAATAATAATAATAATAATATAATAATAATAATAATAATATAATAATAATAATAATATAATAATAATAATATAATAATAATAATAATATAATAATAATAATAATATAATAATAATAATATAATAATAATAATAATAATATAATAATAATAATAATATAATAATAATAATATAATAATAATAATATAATAATAATAATAATAATATAATAAT